TTTTCAAATTGGAGTTACTCTGGACTTGCTCTTGGTACCCTTTTCTCAAGTCCTTGAGCTCAAAAGAGAGATCATATTCTATTTATTCTCTAGCTTGTATGCCCAATCTTTCTGAGTATCGGCATCTAACTTCCACTGGTAGCATTTAGCCTCGAGTTCTCTTACCCTCTGCTTCAGCTCATTGTTCACAACTTCGAACTCTTCCTTTGTTATCTCAAGTTCGGAAGGGACAGGCCTGGGATGTTCCTCCATGGTCTGGGTGTCCTCACAATCTGGCATTGGGATGTTGTCGTTTTTTCTTAATCTTCGCTACTCCAAATAGTCATGAGTAAGCATGTCTTTGGCAACCATGACATCCATCCGATATACCTTTTTCCATGACTCAGCTACCTCTTTGATCATCTTTTTGTAGTTGTCACCATGGTATACAAACTCTGACCTAGATAGTCCATATGTTGTTGGGACGAACTGTCATGCCCATACTGTCGAAGTGCTAGAAGCAGAGAATATCCAACTTATTCCACAGTCCAAGCAGTGTCATAATGTCTGAATCCCCACAACGGAAGAGAATGTCACTATGGGTCAACCAAGGGGCTCTCCAGGCAATATCCTAGTCCTGAAGATGCGTGAAGACCTTTATCCATTTTTTCTTCACCTAAAGGTAAATAAGTGGTATTGAATTGGCAATAGACAACCCCGTTAGTTTTCCATAAATGGATATGAATCCAGACTTGAAGAAGCTTAGCACACCCAATGAACCTTCCTCCACCAGTTTTTCTGTAGTGGTTAAGAGAGCGGAATGTCTCAGCTAAGATTGTATGTGCTGGATTTGCTCACCTCGGGAGTTGTTCAAATAGCTCTACCACATCTGCATCAATGTATCCCAAAGTCTTTGGGAATATAATCAAGCCATACAGACCCAGGGCGAAAAGATCTATTATCTTCCATTCATCGGGATGGTTCTTCATCAGTTGCTTGATATGAAGCCAAACAATTCCTTCCTCACTGCCTTTTTGTCGAGCTCAGTCAGTTACCATTTTCCGTCAACCCCAACAACCTTGGCTAGTGCATTCTTAAAAGACTGACTTTTGATGTGTTTAATGTAGGCTCGCTCTAGTCTGATGTTTTCACAGTGCAGCAGTGTAGTGTACTCTTCAATGGTGGGCACCATGTCCTCCTGGTTAAAAGTGAAGCAATTGTATCCGGGTTCCTGAATTGAACCAAGGCTCTGATTAAGGGCTCATCAGTCTTGGCATGAAGCAAAAGTGCAATATCTCCATACCGCTGGCTGAACTCTGTTTCTGGTCACTTTTTCAACTGTCCCAGATGTTCCAAAGCTCTTGTACATCATTCTGTTTTAGGCTGATAGAGGCGTAGCTAACTAGTTCTAACACATATCTCCCTTGAAGATTGTCTCCCTTCTCTTTCTAAGTCTTCTAGGACCATAGTCGTACCTCGGCGTTTTTTATCTCTTGCATTACAACCCCTTTGTCCATTAATTTAGATTATTTGTATGTAACAAACACATTTTTTAAGGATCAATAACCTCTTTTATGATGCAAATGCTAGATAAAGAAAAAACGAAAGCAAAAAGTTAATAAAAATAATAAAAGAAATATAAATGATGAAATAAAGAAAGAAAAGTAGAAAGATAAACAAACGACATAGTTAGGGTAAAAATATCCTAGGTTTTGAAATGGGGTTTTGGGGTAAGCTCTAATTCTCCATAATCTCCTGGTTTAGGTTCTAAAAAAAGGTATTCGAGTTCTCCTTGCTGGTGCCCCCTTGGGCTTGCCAGACCCTTAGTCCTAAGCTCATTACAAGCTTGTGTGGACTAAGTTAAACTCGAGATGACACATTCCCTTATGTCTGTGTGGTGAATAAATTCACACGAATACATAAGGTATATGAATCTTGAAGGCTACTTGCTAGGCCTGTGCGGAGAATAAATTCTCACGAAGGCGTCGCTTTTATCCCCACTTAAAGACAAGGTTTGGAGCTCAGGTTTAGAGCCTTAGGCGGGAAAAACTTTAAGGGATGAAATCACTGAAAATATACCATCAGTACAACTATTTATTCGAAAATATAATCCAAAGTAAGTAAAAAGGATCGAAAAGTTACCTTGAAATTTAAACTTACCCTTTTCATTAAAAAATAACTGGAAATTACCTTAGCCTGACTCACTTACCTATCCCTAGCGGAGTCGCCAAGCTGTCAGAACCGTCTTCGGTTGGGCTCGGAATTGGGCTTCGACTTGGATTAAATGATTATAGTCTCCACCGATCATTTATTTTAAAACAAATGGGTTGATCGGATACCTTATTTCTTACCTGATCTCGTCTTACCAAAGATATGACAAATTCGAGAGTCGGTTACAGTCAAGGAAGGGTTAGCACCCTTGAACTGCCATTTCGATACTACCTAATTTTCAATTGTCTTTAATTAAGAAAATTGAAAGGTTAAATTAAAAGTTAAAAATAACGATCCGAATTACTTACCTCTGATAGTTTTAAAAGTGTATCCTTAAAAAGTCGAGAAACGTGTTAGAGAAAAAATGAAAATAACTAAAATAGAGAAAAACAAAGGAAATAAAGAAAATAACATGAAGATAAAAAGATAAAGAAATTAAAAAGGAATAAAAAGAAAAGGAAAAGAAAAGAAAAAAAAAGAAAAAAAAAAAAAAAATAAAAAAAATAATAATCTATATACAATCAATAAATAAATAAAAACAAGAATAAAAAATGAACATCAAAGAAATAAAAATAAAGTAAAAATAGAAAAATTAAAAATAAATAAATAAAATGTATACATATATATAATATAATGCAATAAAAAATAATCAAATAATTAAAATATATATATAATAATAATAGACGTATAAATAAACTATTAAGAGTATATATATATATAATGATAAAATATAGCGCTTAAACAAAAAAATAATCAAATAAAAATAATCAAAATATATGTGCAATAATAATAGGCTTATAAATAAAATATTAAAAATATATATACATATATAAAATGATAAAATATAGTTTTTAAATAAAAAATAATCAAATAAAAATAATTAAAATATATATATAATCAAATATTTAAATAAGTAAAAATAAGGGGAAAAAGAAACTTAAATATGAAGGGACTAAATTGAAAGAAACAAGAATTAGGGGTCGAATTTATAAGAAAAATCGGGATCAAAATTGAATTTGGGATTCAAGTTAAGCATTTAAAAAAATTGAGGGACTGGAAAGGAGATTAACCCTTTCCCTTTTAAAAACACGAGGGGATCCGCTCGGGTCGAGTCAATTTTTAACTGGTTGTATATAACCCAAACACCATAAACACAACTCATTATCATCTCCCCAAACTGAATCAAACTTAAAAAAAAACCCAAATCCTCTGAACTGGTTCATGTGTTCTTCATGAACACCGCCACAATTTTCAAAATCCAACCACCCCGCCGCCTCGCCGGTCGCAGTTGATCGGAGCCGGCCGCCGGTCATCGCCGACGAACTTTATTTTATTTTTTTCGAATGCTTTTCTCTTCCTTACTTCGAAAATCACAACGGTTTTCTAAGAATCGCCTCGGGGGAGAGTGGATCTAGAAAAAAACGTTTTGAACACTCCCCCATACGGTCATCAGTGCTTTGATTTTTTTCAAATTGAAAACGCAAAAACGGAGACATGCAAGCAAAAAAGGCACGGAAAAGGTAGGCTTTTTACCTTTTATTTTCTTTTCAAATCGTATACAAAATATGCTTCGAATGATCTTGCGATTTCTCTTGTGTTTTGTGTGATTCTCGTGCCTAGTAATCGTGTGTCTGTGTTTTGTGTGATTCTCGTGCCTAGTAATCGTGTGTTGTGGTGATTACATGCCTATTATTTATAATCTAAAAGAGACTATTTTTAGTCCCGATTCATTCGGGTTTTTGACTCCTAACAAAACTGAAATTGATTGTTTTTTGGTTGTTGATGTTGATGTTCCTTGCGTCGGAGGATTCGGGTTATTGGAGGCAAGAGACGTGTGGCTGTGGGAGTCTTCGGGGTGAGGTCTTTACATGTTCGATCGAGCGACGCTGGGCGAGATATGCCTAGGGTTCGAAAACCCTAGGTGATGCGGGTCGTAGGGCTCCAGTGGAGCGGTTCAGGCTCAGACCGGTTCACGGGTCCGGGTTACAGCTTGGGCTGCTTCAAGTGGGTTCGGGTTATAGCTTGTTAGCTTCTGCTGGGCCACTTGGGTCACTGTTGGGCCATATTGTTTTGTAAATGTTTGTTGGGCCTGCAAATGTAGAAAAATAAAATTAATAATACTATATATAATATATAAATATTATAAAAGTGAGGATACGACGAAATCATGTGTCTACACCACTGTAGTAAACTCAATTTATCATTTTCACACATATGATATTTTAGCATCAATTTAGTCATCGAAATTATTTAGGGGCATCATCCTAGTCCTCGAAATCCGTTGACCCTTTTAACTAATAAAATTGTGATATTTCTGCGTCTGTGGTTTAAGGGATTATGTTAAAATATTTACTAAACACAAAGGTTAGAAAAATTCTCAAAATCTTATTATTTATTTCAGTTAGATTAAGGGATTAAGTTAAAATTTTAGGGATTTTTTCTAATTGTTTAGTACAAACGCAGAAAACTAACGATTCTATTAATTAAACCAAAGTTCAGAGGCTAGAATGATGTCTCTATACAATTTCGATGGTTAAATTGATGTGAAAATATCATAAGAATAAAAATAATAAATTAAATATACTACATAGACAAAAGTAGACCTTAAACCATAAAAAATCATATTTAACATTAGTTTAAAATTCATTTTGATAACCTAATTTGAATTTATCTTTCCATGCAATGCTTACGGCTTACCTCATTTTCGCTTACCCTGAAAAAAAAACTTTTAAATAAAAAGCCCAAAAAGCTGAATTATACAATAAATAAATTCTTCCCCACTCGAGAATCCATTGAGGGGTTTCCACTTTCCGATCCATATTTTTATACAAAATTTTCTTGTTTCCCCCTCCTGATTTTCCTTCATTCCAAACACCATTGCAATTCTTACTACATTTCCCTCTTGGATTTATTACGATTTGATAGGTGACGGGTTTCCAAAAAAAAAGTTTTAATAATGGAATTAAAAATAAAAAGGGGTTGATTTTTCTTCCCCGGAGGCAAGCTTTCCCGGGAAAATTTGCCTCTTTTTTTCCAGCTCTCTCTCTCTCTCTCTCAGCTTCCACGGTTAGTTGCATTTCCACCCTTTTCTCTCTTCTCTCTCCACTTTGTTTCCTGAAAAAAATTATTTCTTGGTGTTATTTTCTTGTGAAATGTTTTAATCCGAATGACAACTTGAAATTATCGTTAGTTTGTGATTTTTCAAGAATATTATTTTCGCTCCAAATAAGGGAACTTTTAGTTACGTACCGTTCATCTGTTTTCTTCTTTGTTGCAGGAAACTTTCTTTTTGATTGATTGAACCAAGAGTACTTTATGTAGTCGTGGGTGGATTTACAAAGTAATGGAAGGAAAATTTCATTGGGGAATCTAAGATTCATGAGAGAGAGGACTTTAATTTATTCTCATTGTTTTATTTATATTTTTTTATTGAGTTTGTTTGGAAATAATAAGATTTCTCGAGTTTGATTGCATGGAGTCTGAAATGTTTTCACCTCCAAGAGATGTTGTCAAATGTTGTGATTGCGCTTGTCCCGCTTGCTCTGTGATTGGTAAACCTTCAAGTAAATGGTTACGATCCGTAAAGCGAAAATATGACGAATCTGAGAATGGAAATCAGTTTTGTGTTCCGGAATTTGATCTTCATTCAAATCCCAGAGTCCAAATTGAGAATGAATGTGTTGCTCTGCGGGAGACTGTTTCCACCCAACAAGCAACAATACGGGATTTGCAAGCGGAATTGGAGCAGGAGAGAAATGCCTCGTCGTCGGCCGCGACTGAGGCAATGTCGATGATATTGAAGTTGCAGAAACAGAAGGCAGAGATTGAAATGGAGGCAAGCCAATTCCAGCGATTTGCGGAGGAGAAAATGGCACATGATCAGGAGGAGATACTTGCCTTGGAGGATCTTTTGTATAAGAGAGAACAGGCTGTTGAATCTCTTACTTGTGAAGTACTGGCTTACAAGCATAGGATGATGAGTTATGGTCTTACGGAGGCCGAGGCTGAAGGTGTGATGGATGGTCAGATTGAGAGTATGGGTACGGCTGAGAACTTTGATGAGCAAGTTGATCTTCCTGCATATGATTATCCACCATTAAAATGCAGTTTCAATGAGAATACCGGTGACGAGGTTGAAGATGTTGAGAAATATGCATTTGGAGAGACCCCTAATACTCGAGAACAGTTGAGGAATTTGGAAGAAAGGATCTTCCAAGTGGAGAGGAATTCCAGCTGCAGTCAGACAGATGGCGGTTTTCCCGGAAGGAATTTGGAACCAAGGATCTTCCAAGCGGAGAGGAATCCCAGCAGCAGTCAGATGGATGGAGGTTTACCCAGAACAAAGAATGTTTTCGAGAAAGTAATAGTTGGTCACTCTCCTAAACGAACAAGACATTCAAGAAGACTTTCAACTGATAGTTATAATTCATTCATGGCTAAAGGACCGCTTCAGAGTTTACCATTGATTCTCCCCGGTTTAACATTGGTTCTCCTAGGTTTAATGCTAGCTACAAGAAGATGGAGTTTTTTTCAAAAATGGATGAACTTTCCAACTCAAGAAGAATGTATAATACTTCAGACGTTGCAGATAATATGAGTGACAGAGTTTGTACCATTGATTCAGTCCATCATGACGTGGCATATAATGGAACTCCCAAACCCAAACTTGGAGCTGAAACTGCTGATGAGTATGCATCCACTCCAAAGGGGTCATTTAACCTGTCTGATGCTTGTGATCCTGATATCAAGAAGCTCTACACGAGGCTTCAGGCCCTTGAGGCTGACAGGGAATCAATGAGACAAGCCTTGTTATCAATGCGAACTGACAAAGCGCAGTTGGTTTTATTGAAAGAAATAGCACAACATTTGTCCAAGGAAATGCCATCAAATATACAACTAGCAAAGCCATCTATTGTTGCAAGCTTGCCATTTATGCCAGTCTTCAAGGTAATCTTCGTTTAAAAAATGTGCTTTCTTTCTATACATTTTGTACCACCGGTTCTGTTGTTGACATTCCGATGTTTATATTCAGCATTCTTCAATTTCACGTTGCTTTGAAATTTTACTGTGTAGTTTGGCTGCAGTTCTTTATCTTTCGTCCGTTGTTGCATCAAAAGCTTCCCTTTCATTTAGTATCCATGCTGCTCTTTACTTGTTGGAAGCATCATGAATGTTTCATCAATAGAGTTAATCTGTTTTCCATAATCAAAACTTTCTTGTATTTCCTTTGATGTGTTTCCACATTGCCTCTCAAAGTCAATTGTGCATTGATTCTGTTTTTCCAGTGATGTGTTTCCACATTGCCACTCAAAGTTAATTGTGCATTGATTCTGTTTTTCCAGTGGATTACCTCCTTGATTTTCTGGAGGCGGAAAGCCCGCCGAAGCAAGTAAGTAGAATTTGTGTTATATACATAGAGATGCAGGCGTAGAGAAGGTGCATGCACTTGGATACATAATTTTACATGTCATGATCTGTTTATTAGGAATTGACATTGAAGTTTAGCGGCATATAATATCCTAGGGAAATGTTAGTGCCAACGTTTGATTCGTTTTATTATATAGGTACCTGTATGGATTGTCACCGAACAACGTCGGCTTGCTAATGCTTTTAGACAGAGGCCCTCGACCGGGGCAGTGGAGATGCCTTTCAAGCACGCAAGTGTGAAACGTTCCTATGTCTAGATGAAGACTATATTTGTAACTGTGAATGCTGAATTGGTAAAATCTTGATCAAAAAGCCATCATGTGTAGAGTTTGCATCCATTCTTTTAATTGATTCTTTTGTGCAGAATTCGGTATATTGTGCAGTGTTCTTTTATTTTTTTCTCTTTATCATTATTTTTCGGATTGAATACATTGTACTGATAGATCAGCAAAACATGGATGCATGGGAGCATAATCGCTCGCAAATTCGTTGGTTTTCGGTTTGAGGTATGTGTCTACCGTCGATCGCATTGTGTATATTTCAGAATCTTGTATGTTTCACATTCAAGTAATGAATTGTTTATAGTTTTCAAATTCAAGCAATATTCAGTTCACCTGAATTATTGGTTTAGCTGATGTATACTTCATCTCTCTTATAAAAGCCCTGATCTTTCTTGATCTTGTTTATGTTTTTTTGTTAATTCGAACAACAATGAATTAGCTTATGTCGGATGTCTTATAAATGTTCTTGTTCTTTTGATGATGTCTAGTCCGGAACGCAAAATGAATATACAGATTGTCCTACTATAGGGACAAAAGCAGTTGGTTTACCTTTACTTTGGAAGGTCCCATGTTTAACTAGTTATATAGAGGGGTGAACATTCAATCGAGCCGAGTTGAGTTAAAAAATTTTGAGTTATTTGAGTTGACGAGCCTTATTTTATAAAACTCGAGTCAAGTTGTTCAAGTTTTGTTTAAATTTAATTGTAAATATTTATAATATTATGATACTATTTGCTTTCAATTTAAATGGTTTTTTATAACCATATACAATACATATATATTTCTTCATATTTTCTTTCATATGATATATACATATATCAAACAGATTTGAGAGATTTTACTTAAACTTGAAAATCAATTTACTAATTACTACAAATTTTGAGTTATTCGAGTTGCATTTTATAGTTCGACTTGAATTTGAAATTTTTTCTAGTCGAGTTTATAAAATAACAACTCGAAGTCAATTTGAGTTGAGTTTTTTCGAGTCGAAAAGATCATTTTTTCGAGTCAAGTCGAGTTTTGTTCACCCCTAGTTATATATATTAAGATAGGATCTATTTATAAGGTATAAAATTCATTAGTTTTATATGAAAATATAATTATTTGATTAATCTAAATAGATGGTTGAAATTAAAATAATTTTTTATGAAAATTGAAAAAAAATATTTGAAAATAAATATGAATCGTTCGATATAAAGAAATTCGTAAAAGTATTTGATATCATATTCGTAAAATCGAATTTCATAAAAAAAAATCTAATAGTTCTAAACATAAAAAATCTTTTAATATTTATTAAAATAAAATAATAATTAATCAAGAAAATCATACTCAATGGATAGAATTTAGTTTTCAAAATTCAAGGTGTTACAAGGAGCTTCAAATTTTTTATCATCTTTCAAATTAGTCCTTAGTTTAACTTTGTAAACCAATTTATTAATTAAGTACATTTTGTTTATGAGTTCAAACTCCAAATACCATAATTTTAAAATCTACCTTCCACAGTATTTTAGGAATTAAATTTTGAAAAATTAGTTTTTTAGAATTCGATCCAACTATCCAATTTCAAACATGATTCTATTAAATTGAATTCCGGAGCGTTATATAAAATGTACCCTACTCGTCCAGTTGTCTGTATGCTTGTACCTCGAGAAGACGTTGGTGCAACTTTCCGGGATTGGAAGTCGACGCCAGGAGAGGAGGGACTTGCAATTAAAGACGTTGCCTACAGTCGATGACTAACAATAAAAAACCACGGAAAGTCACTTTAGGAGACAACGAATTCCACCAGAGACGAGTGCAATAGTCGGTGATTTCACCCGATACTGTACAAATATCTCTAATTCCCTAAATAATTAGCTTCATCCCCACATCCCTAAATTTTTTCTCAACATTTATTTTTTATTAATTTTTCCAATAAATACTTTCGAGTGGTTGATACAATTTTTAAAATTTATGAAAGACGAGTTTTCAAATTTTATAGGTATGTTTTAGTAGTTATAATATATTTTATTTTATAATTCCATTCAATAAATTCGTGCAAGTATAGTATTTGATAAGAATCTTTATTATGTCATACATACTAAATGTATGAACTAGGTGTAGATGCTCATTTTGTCCGGGACGTCTTATGTGTATCCTTATGATTAATTTCTGGTTATTACTAAGTTCGTAGGATACGTTAGTTAGGGTTATCATTAATGATATGCTGGATTTCATAGTGGTTACGTGTTCTATATTAGTGATGCATACGAGTATATACATTGGGTACTTATAAATATTATAGTATTTATATATATAAATAAGTAAGTAACTAAATACTGATTAATGTTTTATTTTGGTCTTTTACAGATTCTAATTAAACTAAGATTACAACGGGCTGGACCAAACGAGCCCAGTTCCCAACAACCCAGTTCTTCAGCCCAACTGAAGAAACCCTAACCCATTGGGGTTTCCTTGTCACCAGCCTCTAGCGCCGCAGCAGGAAGGCCGTTGGATCTGGCTCCACGATCCAACGGTTCCCAGCCCTCTGTGATTCCCGAGCCGACTGCAGACTCACGTGAAGCCACCACCGCATTTCCAGATAGCGCACAACCAACCGAGCAATGGCTCAGCTACCCACAGCTGCCGCCCGTGATCTGCTCTCGCCAGTGCCCTGCAAACACACGAAACAAGAAGCAGAACAGAAGGCACAAAAAACAGAAAG